GCTCTATGTGTTACAAGCATGTTCCTGATGCAAGGAGAAGAAAGCTTGATGACAAGAGTGAACTTATGATTCTGGTAGGATATCATAAAACTGGTGCATACAGACTATTCAATCTAGTTAATGAGAATATTGTGTTGAGTCGAGATATTGTGATTAATGAAAATTCTTCATGGGATTGGAATTCTAGCAATTCAATTAACAAATCATTAATGAACTTTGATTTTGACGAAGAAACTAATGAAGTAGAGGTCGAAGGAATTGTTGAGAATCCAGTCGAAGTCGAAGAAGAAGCGATTGCTGACACTCCCGTCACAGTCGAAGTCGAAGAAGTTGTGGCTGAAACAAGCCAAAGACCTCAAAGAAATAGAGTTCTTCCAACAAGACTTCATGATTATGAAGTGGTGGGTGATGATGAAATCTCACCAGATGGAGAATTAGTTCATTTTGTTTTACTTGCAGGTGCTGAACCAATCAACTATAGCGAAGTTTTGAAGATTATCAAGTGGAAGTTAGATATGGTCGAAGAGTTACAAGCAATCGAAAGAAACAACACATGGGAGTTAGTCGAATTGCCAACACATACAAAAGTTATCGAAGTAAAGTGGGTGTTCAAGTTGAAACACAATGCAGATGGGTCAATAGCAAGATTAGTAGCTCAAGGTTTTCTTTAAAGATCAGGACTTGACTACTCTGAAGTATTTTCTCCAGTAGCAATATTAGAGACTGTTCGACTAGTAGCAGCATTGGCATGCAACCAAGGATGGTCAACATTCCATCTAGATGTGAAATCAGAATTTCTGAATGGTCCTTTAGACGAAGAAGTTTATGTCACACAACCTCCCGGGTTTGTGATTCAGAAGGAAGTGAGTAAAGTATATACATTTCACAAAGCGCTCTATGGCCTCAAGTAGGCACCTAGGGCATGGAACAAGAAGATCGACTCATACTTAGTCAAATTAGGATTTGTCAAATGCAGATCAAAGTATGGTGTCTATGTTCAAGTTATAGCATAAAATATACAATCATCTGCTTGTATGTTGATGACTTGCTAGTAACTAGAAATAGTTTGGAGAACTTGTCGAAGTTCAAAGAGCTGATGACGAAGGAATTTGAAATGTCGGATCTAGGAAAATTGTCTTATTTTTTAGGCATGTAATTTCAAATGTCGAAGCAAGGTATGGTGCTACATAAAGAAAGTATGTCAAAGAGATAGTCAAGAGATTCAGAATGGATGATTCAAATCCTGCATCCTCACATGTTGAACCAAATGTGAAGTTGGAGAAGAATGGAGAGGAAGACAAAGTCGATGCAACTTTGTTCAAGCAAATTGTGGGATCTCTGAGGTATGTGTGTAACAGTCGACCTGATATAGGTTTCGCAGTCGGATTAGTAAGCAGATATATGGGTGAACCAAGAGTGTCACATATGAAGGCTGCAAGAAGAATCCTTCGATATTTGAAAGGTTCAATAAATTATGGAATACTATTTCGACGAGATTCTGAAGGCAAAGAAGCAATAGTTAATTGTTTTTTAGATGCTGATTGGTGTGGAGATAAGGAAGATCGAAGAAGCACAACTGGATATTTCTTTCAAGTATTTGGTGCCCCGATCTCATGGTGTTCGAAGAAGAAACCTATGGTGGAATTGTCATCGTATGAAGCTGAATATATAGCAGGATCCTATGCTGCATGTCAAGCAATTTGGACCAGATTTGTACTTGAAGAAATGACTGTCGAAGTGAAGAAACCTCTAGTATTACAAATCGACAACAAGTCAGCCATAAATCTGGCGAAGAATTCAGTTCTACATGGAAGAAGTAAACATATTGAAGCAAGGTATCACTTCTTGAGGGAAAAAGTAAATCAAGGTGAACTTGAAGTTAGGCATTGCTCAAGTGAAGCACAATTGACTGATATTTTCACCAAAGGATTGAAGATCGACAAATTCCTGAATTTGAGAAAGAAATTAGGAATAGTTTAGATGGACTATTTTTGAGGATGTTCGACAACTTGGATTATGGGGGTGTGTTGAAATATTAAATTAGATTTGATTAGATTTAATATTTAATATAATCCAAGTTGTGTTAGCCCAAGCCCAATTAGGATTGTATATAAATAGTCATAGTGTGTATCATTATTTTTACATTATCCCTAGATGTGTTCCATAGGCCAACATCTAAATAGCATCCATGTATTATACCGTTTTTTAATGTACTCTTGCATCTTTTTAGACAGTCTATGTGAAATATTTAAAATATTTTTTGATTTCAAAAAGATATATATGTGAAACTATAATTTTTTATAAATTTTGATACAATTGAGATATACATCTCTGAAATTTCACAGATTTCGGATATACATTTCAGATTTCTCCACTAATAAGAGTGCGTTAAAAAACTACCATGCATTATTGCATCCATAAAATACTTGTTCTAATAGTTGAATTAAATTCCATCTAACATATTTATGCATTTAATACCTTTGACGAAGCTGCTTATCCATTATGGGAGTATATTGGAACTTCAACAAAAAAAAACATTGAATAATCAATCATGTTCTTCTTCACAATTCATCTCTATATTCCTTCTTCTGCACTTGGGTCTGCTGGAGCTCAAATTTTCTTCTTGCGTTTGAATTTTAAAAAACTCATAATATGTTCTTCATACATGTTATTATTATAACTAATAAAACATTTGTGTCTACGCGAGACATGAATATTGATATGTTACGCGTATATGTTTTTAGAACATATTTTCAGAATGTAATAAAAATGAAATGAAAGACAAAAATATTTAATCAAAAGAGTTTATTATTTTTAAAAGAAATAATAAGCATGGGCCTATAATTTGTTCGGTATATACAAATATTTCAATCAATAATATATATTTTTTCCGATATATAAATATAATTTTTGTTTTAGCATTTATAAAAGTATTTGAATCAATAGTAAACTTGTTATCGTATATAAATTTAAATTTAAAATTCTTTTTTAGTCAAATTTATTTATAAAAAAAACTTAAATGCACTTTTGATCCCCTTAATTTAGTCATTTTAAATAACTGATCCCACTATTACAAAATCAACGATTATGGTCCCCGTACTTAGTATGACTATGGATTTATTTGGTCCACCATTCATTTTTGCCGATGTGTCCTGTTTTTTAATGAGGTGACAGAATATTATTGAATCCATGTCATCAATTAAGTTTATTTAAATAATAAATTAAATAATTTAATTTACATAATACTGAAATCATATTTTAATTAAATAAAATAATATTTTAATTGTAGAAAAAAATATTTCTAATAGTTATAAAAATCTGAAAGTATCCATGTCTCCCCGATTCCATTAGTCTTCGTCTTTCTCATCTTTTTCACTGATCATTGTCTCTCAGGTTCGTCTTCCTCATCTATTGATGAGAGAATTGCTCTAACTCCAAGGCTTTGACCACCAAGCGAATTACCTCTTCCATTTTTGCGCCAATCCCTCTGTCACCTCCCAACGACAAGCACCGACCGACTATTCTACACACTCAGTCAAGAGACTGGCGCCTTCAACCCACATGCAAAACACCGTCAAACCATAATCTACCGACGAATCATGCACCTCACTGAACCTGCAATGCACATCATCATCACGAGCACCACCACCCTGTTTCTGACCGGACATCTCCATTCGTGTTCCTCCAACAACTACAACAACTCCATGTAACAACTAACACCACACATGCCTTCTACCTCCTTGCGTATTCGCACTCCTCACGCCTGGACCACCGCCACTTTGTGACCGCAAACTGTCCAACCAGAATTCATTCTGCCGCCGGTAACTCACGACTGCACCATCCATCGATAAGCCCTATTTTCTTGCTTCTTCGTTTTGTGTTTCCACAATGACTGTGACTATATTGTTGCTATAGTAGAATATATTTTGTTTTTTGTTTGTTATTTTGTTGAGACCATAAGGAATGGAAGAATGAAGAAGAGGTTGAAGAAAAGAAGAAAAAAAGTGTTTAGTGTGCGCTGAAACAGTAAAGCAGCAAGCAAAAGTATTTTTTTAGTTTTCTCGTATCGTCTCCACATGGATTAGTGGTTATTGAATTGCCATTCGACAAGTCTCGCGTTTATGATTTTGGTTTTGATCGGGTTTAAATTAAATGCGGGAATATAATTTATTAACAGGAAAATAATTCATTCTTCGGAAACGTAAAGACTCCCGGAATTGAATTTCACATACTCATCTATTATAAATCTATAAAAATTAAAGTACCTAGAAATGCACTAATTACCCCTCTAACTACAATTAACATCTAATATAATTTTAAGGGCAGATTAGGCTTTTTGTAACACTACTATCATCACATGATTTTGAAAATTAATATTACTGATGTGTCATCCCATAACATTTTGATATAATATTTATTTATTTTAATTCCATAATTATTTTAATCCATTCATTCAAGGTTCAAAGATCGCAACATTTTTAAACTTGAAAACTGAAAAGGCACATAGTTTACAACTGAACTCACCCTTTCCCAATATTCACACAAGTCAATTTCCTGAAAACCATACTAATAGGCTTCTGTAACATGCCAAACCCGAAACTTTTCAGTCTTCTAATATCACATTTTCGCACCATACCATGTAAGTTTCTATCATAATTTATGTTTCTCATATTTACAGATTTGGTTTATGTTGTAATTTTTTGGTTGCAAGTTGTAATCGTATCATCTATTGAATGACCAATTTCTGCCAATTTCGTATCAACTGCAGGGAGGCGCTGGTGGCTAGCCGCAAATTCTTTGGTGGTTGTCAACTAAAACATCAGATTCGGGTGGCGGTCGAAGATTGGTTGAGCAGTGGATCTGAGAACAACTTATTCATTCCTCTTCCCTTTCTTTATCAATCTACAACTTGTATTGTTCTTGGTTCATTATGAATTTGTCTTCTCTATTTTTTTAGATCTAGAAGAGATATTGTTGCATGTTTATCCAGGTTTCAAATCATGATAAACATGAGCATGATTAGAGGTTTACAAGTCATAGTAATCAGTGTTTTTCTGGTTTTGTGATTTGAATTGTTCATGGATTGGAAGAGTTTGAAAGTTATGAAATTAAGTTAATTTGATTTTCGGGAGTTCATGTTTTAGTTTTCAAAAAAATGTTTGTTACAATAAGACAAAAAAGGCGTGTGCTTTTAGCACAACAAATGGAGATTTCAAACTGCTTTCTGCTTCTATCTTTACAATCCTTTGTTTCTCTGATAGCATCAAATTTGGTTCTTCTTGAAACATTGTTTCTCCTGTTATTTTCTCATTCTTGATAATTCAAACATGGATTTAACGTTACAAAGTAGTGATGTTTTATTTTTGTTTTCGACACTTGCAGATGTTTACATCCAAAGACACTAATTTCATAGGATATACTTTTATGAAATGACTTGCCATATCTTCGACGTTGCTGTAATATGTAGTTTCACCTAAGGTGTGTGCTATAAATTGTTGGTTTGACCGTCTTTTAATGTCATAGGACTGTCATGTACTTAGTATCTACTTTTCCTTGTAATCATAGTTTCTTAAGTAAAAAGTTCATGGATCTCATGATAGAGTTTCAGATGATTTATTCTGAACAACCTAACACTAAAATTTGTTTTTTCATATTTATATCTATCTTCTCATCGATGTTTATGTTGCAGACTCTCAGACAAAGAATACAAGGTGAGTAAAGTATGGTTGTGGAGAGAACATTTATTATAGGTTTGGACGTTTTACTCCGTCGGTGAAGTTAACAGTGTTACCTTACAATAGTAGTACTATATTCATCATGTCCTTGTGTTTTAAACTTTCTGATCTCTTAAATGAATATGCATTATAAACACATAGATAGGAAACGTTTTTGTTCATTGAATCTGTTACCATTGCGACTCGTAATCTTCTAGGAAATCTTCAATATTAGCGGCCATGATTTATGCTTCATTGGGGAGATACAAAGACAACTACACTACTCTGACATGTATTGAAATAAATAGTCTGAAGAGATACATGACTTTTGAACTTTATTGAATAACATATTGAATACTCCATTAGAGTCTCCAAGGAAATGTCTTTTACTGCCACAGGCGTGAAGTAATATCCAATTTCATATGTGTTAGTGATCGACGTACCAGGGTTGAAATCTGGTGACATAAAGGTTCACGTGGAAGATTATGACGTGCTTGTGATAAGTGGTGAAAGAAAGATGAAAGGAGATAAAGAAGGTGCAAAGTATTTGAGAATCGAGACAATGGTTGGAAAATACATGCACAAGTTTGTTCTTCTTGAAAATGCTAATATAAATGTTGTTTCGGCTGTGTGCCAAGGTGGAGTGTTGAGCGTTACTGTTGAGACATTACCTCCTTCTCAACCTAAGAAACTTAACACTATTGAGGTTTAAATTGAATATAACTCTTTTGAATAATGATATAGTATTTGTTCATGATGAAATTGCCTTTATATATTTTATGGTAATCAAAGTCATGTTATAGTTTGCTGAATGCAAATATGATTATATATGACAAGTGCTTATCTCAGCTAATAAATTCAAAGAAATGGTTCATGAGTAGGGATGTCAATGGGGCGGGGAGGGGCCGGGGGGACACTTCCCCATCTTTTTCCCCGCCATAAAATTCATTCCCCGTCCCCGTCCCCGATCTCCGTCACGGGGGAATTTCTATCCCCATCCCCGTTCCCCGCGGATCCCCGTTCCCCGCGGGGATCCCCATAGATCCTACATTTATTCATTAATATTTTATTTTTTTAAAATGTTTATATTTTCTATAAAAATAAAAAGCACAAAGAATTCACATATTTATTATGTTATTAAAAAATACTAGTATTTACATTTCTCTCTCTTAATAAATACATGAATATTTATTTATTTATTTTTATAAATAAACATAAAGGAAATGACTAAAAAACCTAATCTAAAATATATATATTAAATTAACTATATTAAAATAATAGGCGGGGCGGGGTCCCCGCGGGGCAGGGGGTGTATTCCCCGTCCCCGTCCCCGAAATGCTTTCGGGGGAATTTTTCTCCCCATCCCCGCCCCCACGGGGGAAAATTTCCCATCTTTGGGGCCCCGAACGGGGCGTTCCCTGCGGGGATCCCCATTAACAAGTCCAAACTGACATCCCTATTCACGAGCCAATGCAAACACAGTCTTATTTACTGATTTGTTTGTTTTTTACTTCTGTTTTGAATTTATAATTTTTTCCTCCGTCTTATATTTCCAGGTTTCACTGGATGTCGTTGAGAAGTAGACATCTTTAGAGGTTGAGCATATATATGCTAAAAAAGACAGAAACCAAGCGATTGGGAAATTAAGGGAATTTGAACAGAATTCCTCTCACCTTGAGTGGAATGTAACATGGTGCCTTTTAGGCTTTTTGTAACAAGGGCAAACTAGGTTTTTTGTAACACTACTATCACCACATGATTTTGGCAATTAATATTAGTGACGTGTCATCACATAACATTTTGATATAATATTTATTTCTCTTAATTCTAGAATTATTTTAATCTATTCATTCAAGGTTCAGAGATTTCAATGTTTTTGTACTTGAAAATTGAAAAGGCATACGATTTACAACTCAACTCACCCTTTCCCAAGTTTCACACAATTCAATTTCCTGTAAACCATACTAATAAGCTTCTCTAACATGTTAAACCCTAAACTTTTCAGTCTTCCAATCTCACATTTTTCGCACTATACCATGTAAGTTTCTATCATAATTTACATTTCCCATATTTACAGATTTGGTTTTTGTTGTAATTTTTTGGTTGCAAGTTGTAATCATATCATCTGTTGAATGACCAATTTCTTCCGATTTTGTATCATCTGGAGGGAGGCGCTGGTGGCCAGCCACGAATTCTTCGGTGGTTGTCAACTAAAACATCAGATTTGGGTGGAGGTCAAAGATTGGTTTAGCAGTGGATCTAAGAACAACTTCTTCACCACTCTTTGTTTTCTTTATCAATCTGCAACTGGTATTGTTATTAGTTCATTATGAATCTGTCTTTTTCTATTTTTGTAGATCTGGAAGAGATATTGTTGTATGTTTATCCTGGTTTCAAATCATGGTTAGAGGTTTACAAGTCATAGTAATTAGTGTTTTTTCTTCTGGTTTTGTGATTTGAATTGTTTACGGATTGGAAGAGTTTGAAAGTTATGAAGTTGAGTTAAGTTGATTGTCGGGAGTTCATGTTTTAGTTTTCAAAAAATGTTTATTACATGAAGATAAAAAAGGCGTGTGCTTTTAGCACAACAAATGGATATTTCAAACCGCTTTCTGCTTCTATCTTTCCAATCCTTTGTTTATGTGGAAGCATCAAATTTTTTCTTCTTGAAACATTGTTTCTCCTGTTATTTTCTCATTCTTGATAATTTAAATGTGGATTTAAAGTTACAAAGTAATGATGTTTTATTTTTGCTTTCAACACTTGCAAATGTTGAGATCCAAAGACACTAATTTCATAGGATATACTTTTAATAAATGCCTTGCCGCATCGCCCGACGTTGCTGTAATATGTAGTTTCACCCAAGGTGTGTGGTATAAATTGTTGGTTTGTATGTCTTTTAATGTCATAGGACTGTCATGTACTTAATATCTACTTTTCCTTGCAATCACAAAATTCAGGGATCTCATAACAGCGTTTCAAGTATTTTAATATGAACCACCTGACACTAGAATTTGCTTTTTCATATTTATATTTGTATTCTCATCGATGTTTATGTTGCAGAATCTCAGACAAAAAATACAAGATGAGTAAAGTATGGTTGTGGAGAGAACAGTTATTACAGGTTTGAAAGTTTTACTCCTTCGATGAAGTTAACCGTGTTACCTTATAATAGTAGTATTATATTCATCATGTCCTTGTGTTTTTAACTTTCTGATCTCTTAAATGAATATACATTATACACACATATATAGGAAACATTTTTGTTCATTAAATCTGTTACCATTGCGACTTTCAATCTTCTAGGAAATCTTCAATATTAGTGGCCTTCATTTATGCTTCATTGGGAAGACATAAATACAACTACACTACTCTAACATGTATTGAAATAAATAAATCGCAGAGAAAAATTCCTTTTGGACTTTACTTAATAACATACATAATACTCCATTAGAGTCTCCAAGGAAATGGTTTTTACTGCCACATGCGTGAAGTAATTTCCAAATTCATATGTGCCCGTGATTGACGTGTCGGGTTTGAAATCTGGTGACATAAAGGTTCAGGTGGAAGATTATAACATGCTTGTGATAAGTCGTGAGAGAAAGAGGGAAGAAGAGATAAAAGGTGCAAAGTATTTGAGAATTGAGACAATGGTTGGAAAATTCAAGCACAAGTTTATTCATCTTGAAAATGCTAATACAAATGTTGTTTCAGATGCATGCCGAGATGGAGTGTTGAGTGTAACTATTAAGACATTGCCTCCTCCTCAACATAAGAAACCAAACACTACTGAGGTTAAAATTGAATGGAACTCTTTAGAATAATGATACAGTATTTGTTCATGATGAACTTGCCTTTCTATATTTTATGGTATTCAAAGTCATGTTATAGTTTGCTGACTGCAAACATGATTGTATATGACAAGTGCTTATATCAGCAGATAAATCCAAAGAAATTATTTACCGATTTGTTTGTTTCTGACTTCTATTCTGAATTTATAAATTTTTTCCTCCGTCTTATATTTCCAGGTTCAATGGATGTTGTTAAGAAGTAAACATCTTTAGAGGTCGGGCATATATATGCTAAATAAGACAGAGACCAAGTGATTGGGAAATTGAAGGAATTTGAACATGATTTCTCTCACCTTGAACGGAACGTAACATGGTGCCTTTTAGGATATTTGTAACAAGAGTAGATTAGGCTTTTTGTAACACTACTATCACCACATGATTTGGGAAATTAATGTTACTGAAGTGTCATCACATAACATTTTGATATAATATTTATTTATATTTGTTGTACCCCAAAATTTGCCCTCTCATTTCTCAAGGAATCACCCTGGATCCTCAAGTTTGCTTTCATTCAATTCCAAGCCTTGAATTATAAATTTTCCAAGGAAATCACTCACAAGGGCAAAATGGTCATTTGCATGCTGAAAAGTCAAACTTTGACTTTTGGATCAAAATCAAGCTTCAAGAAACATATTTCATCAAGACACGTTGGAATATGAAGTTTTGTTTCATCAAAATCCAAAAAGTCAAAATTCTAAATACTTAGAATTTTTTCTAAGTGTTTAAGAAAATATGACAATTTCAGAACTTCTGACCAGATTATCACCATAACACTCAGCAAATTCTGGACACTCTCAAGGCAGAGTTTGGTCAGAACTTCTGGGCAAGTTTTCACAAAAAGTTTCAGTCAGAGGTTGCAAACATGGTTCAAAATATGACGCTTTAATCAGAACATGTGGAAGCAATGTTCTCCTTTAAAACATGCTGGAGCCAGAAGATACAAAGATCAGAGGATGGATGCTATGCTGAAGCAGAACTTCTGATCCAGAACTAAGCCATGGTGTAAAATCTCACGTTACAGGATTTATGGTTGTGATAAGTCTCATCATTATTTAATGCTCACAACTACTTTCAGAGTCTTTATCCAAAGGATTTTCAACACGTGTACCCCTACTGCCTTGGGAAGACAAACTTTTGTGCAAAAGTATGCTAAGCCCATGCGCTGCTACTTTTCCTTAATTCATGCTGACAAATACAACTTAGGCGCTGCTAACTATCCTACTTGATGCATTGAACCATGCTTGTTTAAGCTTAATTCAAGAGTAAGTCGGCTTCTAGCATATGACGTTGGCGCCACTTGACATCTCCAAACTACAAAACCTTTCCCTATAAATATAACTCCATTGGAAACTAGAAAAGGGGGGAAATTTTGAGAAAGAAAAGAGTTGAACCCCTGCTAAAATTCCAAGAGTCCAAAAGAGAGAAGAGGAAACAGGGAAAACCATCACAAATCCAAAACAAAACCTTTTGTCCCCCTTTGAATCAAAGAACACAACCACTGTTCCGTCACCCTTGCTGACTCAGAACATCCAAAGGCAGCCACTCAAAGCTCCAAGCATGCTCCAGGTTCAAGGTAAGTCTTTCTGACTTTGTTGTTTTTCATTCTGAACATCATTAACATGTACATATCATAGTATTAATGTTGTACATATCATTTCTTAAGTAGAAAAACTATGGATCAGAACTTCTTGATTAGGGCTAGACTCAGATTTAGGATTAGAACTTCTATAAGTTGTTATGATGTTATCCTTCTAATTTGCTGTTTAATAAGAATTGAATGAATTGCTAATGTTCACTCACTGGCTCAGCATAATACAGAGCTTCTGATGATTCACTCACTGTTTTAGCACAGCACAGAACT